TTCATCAGTATACCGTAGTTTGAGATTTGGATGCATGCTCATGATTTTTTTGCTTTGCTCATCAGTGTACTGACCGAGAGAAATATACCATGTATTAAACTGATTCAGTGATACATCAACATTGTATGATCCGCCTTCATGCGCACGACGATTCAAGGCGTTCATTACGGCAATCGCACCGATGATGCCAGTTTGATAGTCTGTATTTGGGAGTAATGGTACAACAGGCTCATCCAACCCAAGAAACTTTCCTTGAAGCCAAGAGACACCGGTAACACAGTCGCTGATTTGTTGCCATCCGGATCTATGAGTCCAAGGACCCTTCCATCCATAACAATTTTCTCGTACATAGATTACCCCCTTATCACGTCTTTTGGCCACTTGATGTACGGTATCAGGACCAAAACCAAGTCGGTCCATACAGCCGGGTCTGTATCCGTCAATAACAACATCGGCGTCTGCGATAATGTTCTCCATTTGTTTCTTTCCCTCCGAAGTCTTGAGATTGATTTGCATGTCGTATTTGCCAAGATTTGATTCAATAAGGATATTGGTCATGTCTGGCTCCAGGTTATTTGAAATGTGAATAACGGTCGCGCCGAGGGAGGCTAGAATTCTCGACATTGTTGGAGCAGCAATTACACGAGAGATATCGACAACCCTAATGCCTACAAGCGGACGCATATTCTCATCTTGAGATGTTGGCCACGATATAGGCGAAAGATGCTTGTCAACCTTTCCTATTGTCCAGAGTGCTTCGTTTGCCATCGCCTTTCCATGTTCCGTTTTTTGATACTCTTCCGGAGTATAGCAAACGGTTCCTGCTTGGCCATATTTTTCGTTTGCAGTTATATCTAGCCATTCTGCATCATATTTCTGACATTCTCGATCAAACAAGTCCACGATTTCTTCACGATCCGACAATTGTAGGTCTGCTCTGTCAGCTGGCAGTCCAAGCATTAATAGCGTTTTATCGGCGTTCATTGATCCGTGGAGATGGAAAAATTTCCCGTCTTTTGTTTTGTAGATATTCGTCGCAAGCTGACGATATCGGATAGACCTTCTTCCTCGATCACCTTCGGTAATTAGCTTTCTGATATAATCTGGAGCTTCCGAAACAGACTTTCCAGCTATCTGAGTGAGCAAAATAGACATGCTTGCTAGCGTTGCTCGATCAGTATTAACCATAATATCTTGCAAAGGAAGATCATATCTTTCGGCGGATATCGCAGAGGCATACGCTCCAAGAGTAGCGTATAGTGCGGCAGAAG